AAAAGTAAAAGTAACAATATCGAAATAATACAATACACGAATGGACACAGAAGTGTGTACAGGCAAAAAATGATTAAAAAATGAAAAGATCAGGTTACTACTGTTCCTTCTGTGCCGACTAAATGAATGCATTACAGGAGAAGAAATTACTAGGAGAACAAAAGTTTTCATGTCTATTCACTTATATGGAATGGTCAGAATGTTCGGCAACATGCTGGACAGGTACTGGAAAATATCCTCAAATGTATCGGAAAGTGAATGAAAGTAGCATAGTACACGCTCGAAATGGTGGACAACCGGAATGTCCACCTAATCTGCTCAATTATATCGATGAAGCACCATGCAACACTTACAGGTTCGTGAGAAGTTTGCACAAATTTTGACAAATTTTTCAAGTATGAAACTTACATTTGTGATAAAAATTGTAATAGCTAGAGCGAAATCGCCAAGAATTTGTAATACTAATAATAACAATGCAATAAAATAACGAAAGTGCTGCAACAGTGAAACTGACAATAATAATTGCAAAGATTTTTTTCATACTTTTTCATTTCTTCCAAGAAAAACTTATGAATAATTTTAACAATGCAAACAAACAATCAATAATTTTTGGTGTAAATAAATTTAATTAACTCAGAAATTAAATTAAGCTTACAGAATTAGAAACTGGATAATTTTCAGATGTCCAACATCTCTCGCATCTTATGCATACGGTAAACAATGCTATTACAATGATGCCACCTTGAAAAACAAGAGTGGATGCTATCAAATTCGAAATGTGCCATTAGATGATCGACTGATATTAATAGATGCGAATTTAACGAAGCCTTGCGATTGTCCTGCTGTAATTTACTGAATTTTCAATCATTCATCGTTATTAGTCAGAAAATTTTATTTCACTTCATCTTCTTTTACGTCAAATACGTGATTGATAACGAAATTCAAAAATTATCCTTAAATTTTCTTAGTGAAAACAAAAAAATTGTCGCATTTATTTCATGCAATACTTTAAATGCTCACTTTTTATGAGACCAATAGCTAAATTTGATAAACAAGAAGGTTAACCTCTCGTGAACAATTTGAATAATCTGCTACAAAAATGTATTTGGATAATCTATTTCATAATGATCCTGCTATTACTTGAGACTGTATGTATTTTGTAGTAATCTTCTCCTATTCAATAACTATCCCGCCAAAATTGGTGTCGTGCATAATTATTTGTTTTACGCAAGAACGTGTCTTTTATGATATTTTGATTTCTCTCCTACCAGTTTGTATAACAATATCTGTTCACTATCAGACTTATCATTTTTTTGTTGTTTGAGATACTTTATTATCATTATCAGTGATATTTCACAGATTAAAGAATAGTAGTAAATAACACAAACACAAAACATACAAATTGCTTTCCTTGCTAATGATATTTATTGCAATAGTTGTTGTGATGCATAATGAGCAGTTTCGGTAATTGCTGGAGTTTTCACGTATAATTCACGTATAATTATTGCGGTGTAAAGTAACTTTTTTTGTTGAAAAAATAGTCCTTTCTGCAGTATTTAGAATTTAGAGTCAGCAATAGCTTATGGGCAGTATAGTGTAATTTTCTGGCTGCGAGACATTGATGAATAACTTAGCGAATGATTCTAAAATTCGTTGCATTTATAAAAGGCACAAGATGTGGTATTCAGTAATTTTATCAAAGATAATATTCAAAAATAAGTTAAAAAAGTTAGGAAGCATTGATTTTCAAGAACCTAATGACAACACTTTCACACTAATATACAGCCATCGACGTGAAATTTTAATACATCTGCATCCTCTCACAACATTCATTTTGCTATGAATCATATCGTGAAGAAGTCACGTGAAGTCATGGACTCATTTTTTGACCGCATCTCTTATGCAGTAATGAATTTGATTGCAGCTAGTATCTGCAATTAGTAATTCTTTTTTAAAATATCAAATGTGAAACTTCTATTTTGCATATCGCTCCGCAGTGTTACTGAGCAATTTTATTCAAATTTCTGGCGGTGTATTTATGCTGTATTTAATTTCTAGCGGTGTATTTGAAGGTTTTAAACATTCACGGCAACGTTTATTCGTAGTATTATGTTTGTTTAATTTCTCGCTAGCTTATTCATTTATTCATTTGTGATTTCGACGATAAATTTAGAAGAAAAGGAGTTTCGTTGATGTTATTATATTTGAAATAATGGCCAAAGGATTCCTGGATTCATTACCGAGCTATGTCAAGTAACTTTCAAGATATTTTAGTTATCTTTTTTGTATTGTAATTTGATGTTTAATTCCTGAAGGGAAATGAGAGATGTTAGTGTACTTCTAACACCTAAGTTAAAGGTAGTTCTTCTGCATCGAACATGAAGAATTTTTTAATGGAGTAAAGGCATTGATCAAATTTTCAGGGTATTACCAGAAACAAAGAAATTGGATTACATTTTGAAGTATGTTCATTTCATTATGTTTTGTAAAGACTCAGTCATAGTGATGGTATTAAAAATATCACCCGAATTGTCGGCTGTCAAGATCTTTTAAATTACTTTTTCAGTATTGTAAATCAATTTCCGTATATAAAAAAGGTGCAATTATACACATTTTTTTAGTATTTAGAGGCAGATTGTCTCATTTCAGTCAACTGCAATGGATGGACAATAATTTAGAAGGAGAAGATTGTGTTCGGCGACTTCGAAATGCAGCTATTGAGACTGTAATGCGGTATTCTGTTCCAGACAGTCCATTTTTCAACGATGAACGCTTGTTTGCGATTTTTTGTATCGTTGTAAGTAAAACCGTTACAAGATATTTTTGTTGTTTTCAACCATTTCACTATGAAATGATCGGCTTTTTCTTGTAAATTGTATGAAAGTTCTAGTTTTAGATTAACAGAGAAAATTTAAAGTGGATGAGAAATTTTTAGAAATAGATTCTTTTTTTTAATGACTTTGTAGTCTATTGAATCAGCTCCTGAAGTTATGAGTCTTAAATTTTACCTATTACTCGTCGTTATAAAATCTCATGATGCAATCATATGATAAAAAGTTGTTCAGGGAAAGTTAAGTCGAACCATGGGATTAAAATCAGTCATGGAAGAGTTGCACAATCGGAAACAGTTTTACGAGTTGGCAGAATTTTATGTCAAATGGGCAGAGGTCGTCTTACTATTCATCTATTTCTTTATTGGGATAAATAATAATTTTTCTGTGTCTCATATTTATATTTTTCGTTTCAGATTTTTGCGAAAGAGAGAGATAGAAATCGATTCAACCAGATTTGGAATCGAGCTTTGAAGGCGAGTGCCCAACCTACATCACGTATAAATGAAGCTTTCAAGTACTGATTACGTCTTTTTTTAATCGGAATGTGTAAAATTACCACATGTTTGTGCACACATGCTTATTTTTAATGGACATGCTTCACAACACATGCTCTTTCTGAATAAATTGAAATGATTAATGTAGAATTTTAGAGCCATGTTGTATCAGTACTTTGAGTCCGATGAAGAAATGACTGTGAATCTTTTCAGAAAACCTGGTATACTTTTATATGAATCTTTGTTTATTGGTTAGAGTTAAGAAGTTATGTTGAATGTATTATAATTTTTAGTTGCATCAAAAGATTTACCAGTGGTATTTGGAATGGCAAGTCAAGAAACGTAAGTCCATTTATTGTGCTTCTGCTTTTTGGTAGATCTTTTTGGAAATGTAAACATATAATTTTTTTAGTAGGGCTCAGGATCAAATTGAATTTGTACCGACACCGAGCGAACTCTACTATACTACCATCAAAGGACGAATGCAAATAGCTAATGATCAGGAATCTATTGAAGAGCTGTTTGCTCAGGCTGGAAATTATATGCGTGATTTAAATATAGCGTCAAGGTTGGCACTTGAATAAATCTCTTTACGCGGTTGCAGAAATATCAAAGTTGTAATTAACTGTTGGTGAATCAGATTGAAAGTATATCGCTATGACCTGTAACAGCAGTTCTGTTCAATATTTCACTAAAAAAATCGAATCATAGAATCCATTTTTTCTGGAAATTTGGACGTTACTTATAATTCTGAAAAGTAATCAAGTTATTTGATAGGCCTTCAAGCAGATTATCAGTCTGTAAGTTATCAGCTATAAGTGAAGAACGAAGTGGTTATGGCAGTAGTTCTTCGAATAATCCATCTCAAAATGCAGAAAGTTTAGTGAAATTAGCTCAAACATCTGAAGATGGCGCAAGCGACGACATGCCAGCCCCTGCAGTTACTGCTGCACCTACGACTTCTGAAACTGGAACTTCTAATGTTGTGCATTTATTAAAGGATAAATCATACGGTATTGTCACTTAAGTATACCAGTTTTTTAACGCCTGCATTTCAGTACTTACAAGCAGTATTTACAGAATGTCCACAGTCGACTTTCCATGGCACTTCCTTTACTGAAAAATTTTTAAGTAAAGCAATGCGTGACTTTTCAAGTACCGTGCCGGTTCCACCACCACGATCAGGTATAGCTTTTTACTGATTAAAATGAATATATTTTCTTGTCCTAAACGCCAGACATGTATGGAAATGCAAATCTATTTCATATTCTATCCAATGACAATATTTGTTCAGAAAAATATATCAAAAATGAGTTATATTACAGTGCATCATGAAACAGAACAGACTACAGTTTTGCAAGAAACTTTAAACGAAAGTGAAGTTCATCTTCCTCCTGCTTTAAAGAAGACAAAATTTGAAGTAACTGTTCAGTTATCTTCGACAGACTGTACTACTTCTCAGTGTACGTGTATAGTGAAAAATCAAAATGAATGAAATCTAGGTTTATGTGGAAGAACCTGCGAAGAATCAAGAAACGGAGAATGAAGTCATACCTTTCACTGTTCACGCCGATGAAAATGGAACAACTTTAGTTAATAAAAAAAAGTCAGCATTTCAAGTAAGCTTGTGTAATAAATTAAGCGTAACTTCCGACGCAATTCTTTTTTTAGGACAGATATGGAACAAGCTGGGGAGAACTATAGGAATCTTGGTGAATGTGAAAGTCGTAATTCTCAATTAACTTCCAAGAAAGTAATATATTTTTTGTTGATTTTCATATTTAATACACAATATACGATCACGAAAAGTTGAAGGCAAAAAATTAGACTACAATTATATATTTTTGGTTTTTTATTCATTGTTTTGGCCATCCAAAACAAAAAAAGCGTGTGTCAACCATTCGTTTTCTTTTCAGATAACACAACATGAAGAAAATATTCAAATAAATGGAAAACAAGAAAAATGTACCAATGAAAGTAAGTCTCAAAATATGATGTGATGTTTAACAAGTAAGCACAAATTGAATATTTTTTAACCTTACAAGGTTACAGTGGTTAAATTTTTTATTCTCCTGCCTTGCAAAATTGTTTCAGAAATTCGACTTTCTCTTCCTGATCGGACTGATGAAGAAACATTAGCAGGTATGAACAAAGCAGCTAAAACAGGAGCAATAACATCAACTCCTGCAAGCAACTATGCACCTCCAATTGAAGATCCAATAGAAGGTTACGTAACGCAAAATTTCATTCAAAATAAATTATGTAAGCACTAGTTAATGACGAGTGCAATTTAGATTCATTCTGTCGACCTTCATCACGTGCAATAGACGATTTGAATCTAAAAAATGCATTAAATGAAGCTTATGGTTCCGCGTTTTCTAAGCGAAGTAGCGAATATGGAGTTAGATTTTTACTATTATTAGTTTTATGTAAATATCTGGTAAAACTTTTGAAAAGTCTGATACAACGAAAGGATTGTTTTATTTTTTGGATTGAATGATATGATTTGGTTAATAGATGCAGGCAGCTTTCAACAAGTTATCTCAAAAAGTTGGAGTTGAGAACATTGTTGGGAACAAAGTGGCAGGATTACCCGGTAGTAGCAACTTAAATGAGCAGCTACGCCGATTATCGATTGCTAGAAATGATGTGGAAATAAATAAACTAGCTGAGGAAGAGTTGGAGTTAGCGCATTAATTGATTATCTAAATTTCTTGAATTGCATTTCTGTGGAGTGGTTTTTTTTGCGTAAAAAACATTGCTGTATTAATAAATTGCTTCTAAATTGAAAACAGTATAGCAAATGTAGTTGTTATAGGTCTGAAATTATTAATCCGTGGGATGCAAACTTGCGAAGAAAAATAATGACTGATCGACGTTTTTACTCAACGAATGTTCATGATTTCCCACTGGTTTGTGTATATATTATGTTGTAAACTTCTAAACATTACCAGTATTTAAAGTATTTGAATTCCTTGAAATGTGAACTGTAAAGAATATTTTGCAGCAAAAGTGCGATCGCCTCACTCCTGGCGGTGTAGTGATTTTAGGCGGCGAACGTTTCAATATTGAAAGCGTAATTGGCGAAGGGGGTTTTGCCAAAGTTTATAAATCGAAATCTGAAGATGACAATAATTACGCAATAAAAGTATTTTTAATTTAGTTAGTTTTTAAAGAAAAACAATCTGAACAACTTTGTTTCTTGCAGTTTGAATTACCACCATGCAAATGGGAAGTTTATATTTGCGAAACACTACGAAATCGAATGCCAAAAATAATGTTGGATGGTATCATGAATGTCCGTGATGCGTACATATTTTTAAATGCGAGTGCTATCGTTTACGAATATCATAGACATGGAAATCTCCTTGTAAGCTGTTATTGATGTGGAAGACATTTTGACTTTTGATAAGGTTTTTGACTATCAAGAAATCCACCATCTGTTATTCTGGCTTTAGGAAGAGCAGTTTTGTATTGTATATGCAGCGTCACTCTTCCAGAGTATTGCTTCTCTATTGCGATATTTGTGTACTTTTTTCTGTTGTAGGACATGGTAAACAAATTACGTGCCAAAAAGATAGAGTGCTCTGGCTTACTGACTGCTTATCTGGCGTGGGAGATTGCTCGAATTGTTGAGGCAGTTCATGACGCCCAAATAATACACGGAGATATTAAGCCAGATAATTTCATGATTCTCCACGGGTTCTTAATTTTTTATTTGATAATTATTTTGCAGTATTCTGTTAATATTTAATTTTGCAATTTGTAGACTGAATGAAAATGATACAATAGAACATATTCTGGACAAAAAATGCTTTACATTAAAACTAATTGATTGGGGACGTGCAATTGATATGAGCTCCTTCCCAGAGAGCACATTTCGAGGAAAAGCTGGAACTGATACATTTGACTGCCCTGAGATGCAAGTAAAATATTTGAATGAAGTTACTTGATTTAGAAATCCCATTGATTATCACTGTAGAAGTTTCCATAATTCCATAGCATCACCTTCATAAAATTAAGGACGGTAGGCCGTGGACGTATCAAACGGACTATTTTGGTTATATTTCTACACTTCACGTTATAATCCATGGCAAGTACATGAACATATATCGGAACCATCTCGGACGTTACAGTTCAACATCTGTCATGAAAAGGTCAGACGCTCGAACATTTATATCTTATGTGATAGGTGCTTTCCATGCAGTGACATATGAATTTCTCATCAAGTGCATTTTTGTTTTTTACATGTGCATAAACTGAAGATTGTGAACATTATGTACGCTTATTTCTGAATTCCTCAAATGTTCATTAGTTATCAATGCTAGAAAAAAATTATTGCTGATAACTCCTAAATCCAGAATGGTTCTTTTTCAGGCGCTGGCATCAAAAAGAACTTTTAGAAGATATATTTGATATGTGCATGAATATAATAGATTGTAAATCATTACCCAAATGGTCAACAATAATTGATGGCTTAGAAAATAATATCAAGTGAGTAATATCTTTTGGTAAATGTGAGAGGGGAATAAGGGTATCTAATATAAGTTCTGTACTTAGGTACTGGATTGTGGAAGATCGGAAAGTATGGAAGCAGGCAGCAAGAGAACTGAACGCAGGTATTGCGCCTTAAATTAGAAAATGCAGAATATCGATTATGTGATTTTAATACAAATACATGAGGGATGTGAAATGTTGGAAATAATTATCGCAAAGATGTGAATGTGGATATTATTCTTGGTATTCAATAAGGTCAAAAGGAGCTTCTTGTCAGATTACTTTTGGTGGTTTTGCTCATTGAAGTACTTTGTTGGTAAAATAAAAAAATCTACTAAATCTGTAATGAAAATGTGACTATTGGTAGTATTTGATAAAGTTTGGTTATTAATTTATGTTTAATTAATTTGTAAGGTTCCTTTCCGTTAATAATAACTTACATACTACAAGTAAAAATTTATTCCGCTATCAAGTAATATTGAAAAATATCCACTACACCAGACTAGTTGTGACTGCGGTTTCTGTATTATTACTAACAATTGCAATATAATGAAACTCGCATAAATTAGCCCAGAAGTTCGTGTATAGGGGCTCGTGATAAGTAAGTTTATAAGGTCAAAAATAATGTCGATGAAAGTGAATTTCGTCGTCAGTTTCCATGCACGTCAGATGTACTGTCAACAACAGGACTACGAGATCGTGTGTGGCCTTTGATGCCTGTCCACTTTTTCTGGAATTTTCCAATTTATGTACCGTAGACCACTTAAAGTGGCCAGAACACATAGCATCTGTTGCAGCACAAATCATAGGTTATGTAGAAAATCACGGATTAAATAGATTTTATGTTTGCGTTGGCATATGCGTACGTATATACAGAGCTCGCACTTGCGTGTATATCTCTAGAGTATTACGTGAACGCGTATGGATTGGTATTTGTGTTATTCAACGTGTACTTATGTATATGCTCGGTGTCGCATGTGTGCTATGCTTGTATTTCCGCGTATTTGTATGTCTGTGTCTGTGCTATTTGTGTGTGCACTTGCTATCATGTGCATGTACATATTTCCTTGCCTTTGCGTTTTATAATCAACAAGTAATTTTGTTCTCGAGCATTTTTGCTCATAACATGTTTTTAAATGTCACACATTGATCTCAGTATGGTATCCGTATGAAACTTGACGTCTAGATTGTATTTATACCGCTTCTACATTATGTGCGTGTTCACTATATCTTTCTATGTGAGCATATGTTTGCTCGCGTTAATTTTTTTAATGGGACATGCGTTGGTGTTCTTAAATACTTGCACGAATAAAAATAGCTGGTTGTATTTTGGAATCGGTCTATATTTGTATCCGTTTTTCTTGGTTGTAATCTCCACGTTCGTCTGAAAGTCTCTGTAACACTCTGCTCATACATGTATGGCTATGCGCTTATGAATTATACATGAGTGTATGTGCGTGAGCGCGAAAAATGAAAGAGTTCTTGTGTATTGTAATATGATGATGTGTATCAAAAAACAACGTAAAAGATATATGCAATGAAAGAGGCACTCGTCTTATCGACATATAAGGCGCTAACGTGACTAAAAAATGTCTAATGAAAGTTGACATAATTAGTTGGGTAACAGTCGATTGATTAGAGGTCACAAAAGGATATGAAATATAGGGGTTGTATGACAGAAAAGAAATACTTGCATTTGCAGGAGTTATTAGGCTAGTGGTGGTTGCAAGTGGTCTGCAAAAATAATTGACTTACGTTGACAGTATTGACAGTATATTTGCTGTTATGACGTTTTCTTTTAAGGCAACGTTTGGTACTTTCTTTTTTTGTTTCTGTTCTGTTCACTAATTGCTCTTACGCAGTACAAGGGACGTGTAGAATTTACAGACGTATCATTAACCTCAGCTTACTATTGTGACTACGTAATTGGGTGAATTGCCTGACTACGTACTTGTCTGCACTTTTAAAATGGAATTTAGCAATAATTACTTTGATGAAGATAGCGATCGAAGAAGAAAGAAAAGAAGAAGAGTACGGGAAAAGAGAGTGAGAGGTAGTGATGTAGAAGGATGGAGAGCGTGCCAAGTGTGGGGGAATGAGTGAAGGGGTTAATGGATTAGCCAATTGTTTTTGTGCAATATTTGTTGCCAACGATTGCATATTTGTATCTGTACGCCTATGATATCTGCTTACTTCACTGGCCTTGCTGATTATTTATTTCTGCAGCTTTTTCTTTTGAAATACGTGTACGTGTATAACCGTGAAATACTTGTAATGAAATATTCGGGCTGGACTGCGATGGGTGAGCTGGTTCTGACGATTTGCATTCGATTTGCTGATTGATCGACAGACCAATCAACAGGAGTGTAGTGCAACCTATGGTTTGTAGCATTTTTTACTGGGTGTATGAAGAGAATAATTGCTTCTTTTGTTTAAAGTCTTGTGCGGTAGATGGGTAATAATTGGGCGTTAAATGTGTGACTAATTTCATTCAACTTACCAATATATTAATATGATGTATGTCTCTTGAATGCTTACAGATAAATGGTTATTTATAGCTTAGTCATAGGTAAAAAATGCGTTTTAGTTGCGATCATTGTAGTTGCTATTTTTTTAGTTGCTATTTGAAGACATTTTTTCCAGGCTTAGGTTTGAAGTCTTTCTCAGCAATAACTTCCGAATTTTTTGTTTATGGCGAGTAAGCCACAATTAACATTTGCACGGATTGTATCCGGAACCACTGATATGAATGACGAAGCCAGAAATGTGCCTATAAATGCTACATTAGTAGAAACAAGTGCAGCTACTAGCGGAGCTACTGTTACTGCTATTGCTACGCCAACAACAACGATTTCTGCAAACACTGTTACTACAGATAGGAAAATTGTTATTGCAAGGTCAGGTAATCATACAAACACAGTTTCTGGAGGATCCTCATACCGTACGACATCTAATGTTTTAAACTCTGGTAATAAAAGTGATAGCTCACATCAACGGTGTTCTGAAAATCGGAAATCAGATTTTGACGGAATTAGTTCTCATGTTCAGCGTCATGCACAAATTGGCTCACATATTTCGAATCAGCATTATCAATCAAAGCGGAATAAACCGCGTCACAAGAATGATCGGCCTCGTAAGGTTGGTTAATTTCAGTTCAGAAAGCCTTTTCTTTGAATAATGTTTGACAATTTATACAAACATGTGGGGAATATGCAACATACTACTTATTTATATTGAGGTTTCAAGTATATTCTATATGATTTTTATTTGTAGATATACTTCTTAAGCACCTCTTTAAATTTTTGATGTTTAATTTTATTATTCATCGATTTTCTAATATTTATTTTGAACAAATACTCATACATGAACAAATTTATTCCTCTAGGATACTCAGGCTGGTAAGGAAGAATCCGAAACACGTACTGAGGCACCACGAGAAGTAGTTTTGGGTCCCGCACCAATTCCAGTTGTGAATGCATGGTTCAAGCAAACCAACATACGTAATTTTTATTTTTTATTGGTATCCAAAAGATTTTCTGAAAAAATAGGAGTGCAGATTGTTAAATGTAGCTGTTATTGAGCAATGTTTGCAAAATTTTCAGAATCTGATTCCGTACGCCAATTTATATTTTTAATCAAATATTGATAGTAATTCTTTTCTGAATTTTCAAATCATCAGATGTTGATTGATGATTAATATTTTGAAGATCGCTTTTACAGAAAGCTGATGCCGGACAAATGTAAATATTTCAGAGTCAAAGGATCCCAAGGAAGAAAGTGGTGCTCCGAGTTCGGATGTGTCTTCGTCATCAGTAGATAAAGTCAGTTTAAAGGAAGTTGCAGTATATTTAAAAAATGTGGAAGCTGATAAAGATATTATTGTTAAGGTTCGTTTGTTTTGAATTAAATAATCCAAATCATTTTCTATTGTTTTCGTGTTATACAATCATCAGTTATCAATCGACTGAACATTTCAGCTATTTTGAGTAGGTAAGGAATTTAAAGAAAAAATCGCACTTTGTTTCGATGTAATCGACTTACTCACTTACACACCATAAATTAATTAGTACTCCAGTATCTTTCGGTAATACTGAAATCCATAGTGTGAAATTTTTCAAAATTTATGCGAAGTAGATTCACCTCATATGATGAAAAACGTAGTATAATAGAATTATCAGTATTTCAGAACAGTTATTTCTCCTTTATTTATTGTAGATATTATCTGTAAAATCTGTCTTTTTGCCATTAGAAATGTTCATTTTTATTTGTTTCTTTGTCTTTCCTTCTTCAATTTTTGTCATTCATCATGCGTTAATATTTAAATTGATTTTTTGGTACTAAGAGGTTTTTACTTTTAAGTTAGTTGCATAAATTTTCAGTAGTATGTATTCAGTTAAACTCAGTTATCTAAATTTCATAAAACAAGCGCTGTCATGGTCAGCCTATTGATGCACGAAGAACTTGTACATTACTTAACTTCATTGTGTGACATATTTCAAATTTGTATTTTATCCGCAAGTATGATCATATTCTCAGATACTACTCTTGAAGTCAAAATGTTTTCCATTATTTCATGGAAAAACTAGTTAACATATGTGTACACTGTCTGTAGGTTGTAATACAGATTTGAACCAAAGTTTTACATGTGGAAAACTATATATATATATATATGTATAAGCGCATCTACGAAAGCAAAATTCATCCAAGAAATTTGTGAAATCAGTTATCAAGTCTTAGTCATAACTATGGTAAATGTAAATGTAGGTAATTACATAGCCTAATTCATAATTATGTGTGCGATTTCATATGTATCAGTTTTATTTTACGGGATCCATCTTTGTTGACAAAAATTTTATTTTTGCACCTCATTATTTAGTCGCTGACGCAAGAAATGTTAACATCATTGGACGAAAATATTTCGGATGAAGTGGTTAAGTCTTCTAATGTGGATCACGCTGCAAGTCTGGGAGATCAGCTTGATGTTAAAGTACGTGTTGCTCCCTGCTAGTGTTTTTTTTCCAATGGCTCATAAGCTGTTTGCACTCGTGGTCTTATCCTATAAATAATGACATCGAAATTAATTTCATAATCAACAGTTAGCAACTGTAGTTGGTTCAAAACTTGGCAGTATAATTGCATGTTCTTCGATTAGCTAATGGTTCATTTACTTATGTGATTAGGTAATTAGTTGCAGTATTTGAATTACTTGCATCTTATTACTACAGATTTGAGAGATTTAAACATGTGATAAGCCGTAAAATAAGTCTCTCATGTAACTACATGATGGCTAGGTCTTCAAAATAGTACCTACAGGTTTAGGGGTGATAAAAGCTATAGCACCGAAAGTAACATTTACTTTGTTCCAATTACAGCTTTCTTTCTTTCAAATACTTTCATTGTTTTTTAAAAACTATTCTGATACCTCAGGAATTTCGCAGCAATAATGCATTGATCGAATATAGATGTTTTACATGAAAGTGATAGTAATGCCGAATTTTTCTTGCGTAAGCAGATATTTCGCTGCTAAGTTATATATCACATTCAAACTTATTTTGTTTTTGACATGTTACTTTTTCAAATATTTGGCTTTTCTTTATTTACCGTGCTATCGTATTTAAGTCTACTAATGTGGATGATAAGGCATGGCCATCGTTAAATGAAGCAATAAATGAAGATCAGAAACAGGACGGTTCGGTAAGTAGTACGAGTGTTAAAGTAACTGCTATTGGCAATGAAATGAAGGGTGTCGAAAGCGCTACTAGTAACATAGAAACGGTATGTTTGTTTTCCATTATTATTGTTTGGGAACAAATTTTTTTATCATTCATGTGGAAATATTTCAGGAAGTTAAACAAGATAGGGACAAAGAAAATGAAAGTAATGGGAGTGTTGGAAAGAGTAATAGAAGTGGTAAAACGTGGAAAAAACTAGACATCGATGTAGATTATGCTGGACGTGAAGGACCAGGAAGACGTGGAAACAATGGACAATATAGCAGGAGCGATTATTTTTCGAAATTCAGGTTGCTATATTTTACATTTTTTCGTCATCATTTTGGCTTTTTTTACAAGCAGTAATTGATTTCAGCAAGATATGTTGTGTTCTCCCTGTATTATGTATATGAAATTAGCATATCAGAAGTTTTATAAAATTTTTTACACTGTAGCTTTTAAGAACTTGAAAAAAGAAATTTATTTTTCGGCATGTTTAACATACTCTATGTAGTACCAGCTCAGAACGATTAATCTTGATGCTATATATTTACATATAGTGACAGTAATAAAAATACTTCATATTCTGCACTTTTCATCCAAACAGATTATGGAAAAATGTTTGCTGAATATAAATTTTCTAGCTCCTAGCATTGTTCGTAATGGTGGTCGTTACTCTAGGTTTTATATTTCGTGATGTGTATCGCTATTTGTTAGTAATGATGCTGTGTTTGATTATAACTGGCTTTGGCTTGTTTGACAGACGCTTCAACTATTGTACCTGGGCTCGTTTATATAGTTGAGCGTGTTATGATTACTCAGATAATGAAATAGACACATATTTATTTTGTTCTTACCGACCATGTCTGTTGATTGATCTATATCACTCTGTATGATAAATCGATGGCAAAGGTTGGGGATTAATTTATTGATAGATATATCCAGTGAATGACAGAAGAGGTAAAGGAATTACTAGAAATATATTCTGTAAATTATTGTCAACTGTAACAGGAGAGGTCCGAGTGTTGCGAAACAGCAGACAGTCAGAGAGCAAAGCAACCCATTGCATGGGGTCAGCAGCAATTTCATTCCATCGAATGATAATGCTTCAAAGGTCACAGCAGTAGGAACACCTGCATCTTTAATGGGCTGTGCTCAACCGATGCCTTACATTGCACCAACAGCATTTATGTATACTCCTGAATGTGTTCCTGGCGATGAAGAAAACGCTGAGGAAGACTATTGGTAAGATGTTGTTGGTTGCCTGCTGCATGATTTCATGTTGTTTCTTTAAGAGTGTGTGTTTGCGGGTGCCTTAGTCAAATTAGTGAAATGATTTAGTGCATGTAGGATATTATCATAGCGCAGGGAACGGAAATAAGGAATCGAGTCAGCACATGTTTGGTTTTTATTGTATTTGATCGTTGCGTGGCTTGAGGGAAGCGAATGGCAAAGTATGGAATTGAACTCTCCTTTTTAATTTGTAATACCTTTTCAGTCATTGTCATATGAACTTTTTTTCATGTTATGTTTCATCCAGAAATGGTAAGATTTGAGACAAGTTCTGAGTAGTGTTCTTTGTTTGGTGTATGCAGTTTAGACTGAAACAAGCATGTACACAGACATATGTGCTGAGTGTCAATAGCTTATTCTAAATGTTTATAGCATTTGTCTAGTTCCATTTTATTCGCACGCATAACCATTTCTAAAGTTGTGTGAAAGGTGCGTTTAATAAGTGTATTTAGCACCCTCATGAGTCTCATCCAAGAATGTGGTGTTTGGTAGATTTTGGTGGGCTAACTGCTGTCAGCATTAATTATTTGACCAATAACGAAGTACACATATGTTTACGGGGCAAGTAGTCTCTGTTACTATTGAGAATTAGGCGTTTGCTGTTTAAAATTATTAACGCTATAGACGCGTTGCTGCTGTCGCTGTGGAATGTAGCTGCCATCATTAGAGTAGGAGTGGCTGACTAGAGAAGTGAAAGCGAGGTGACTTTGTCAGATAGCGAAGTAATCATTAATGACTGCATGGCAGAGGATAGCAGGCAAGGCGACATCATGTGTTTGTGGAGTGAACAAATAGTTGGACGATTCCTGCTCGAGAGTGATAAGAATGTTGAGGGAAGTTATGCTGTAAAGTGTGGGGTAGGTTGAACTCTTCTCTTGCAAAGGTTTGTGAAGATGCAGGTGAGTGCGCACACGTTTGCTGCAAGTAAATTATAGTCTAGTTAGTTTGCAGTAGTCGCGAATAAGAGCTAGCATGCAGACAGTGCAGTTGGTTGGTGGGGGAATAAGTTGCGTGTCATATGTTTCGTGGTTGAGCAAGGAACTTTAGAATACCTTCGGGTGCGGTTCATCTTCATTAGCTGTTACTGTTTTATTTTTTGTGAGTAATGGCAAGAAACAAGGTGCATGCACATGGGTGTTTTAATTAGCGAGTTTGTGTCTTTCAGTTAGCTACAGTTAGGAGATTAATAGATGTACGTTAGTGTGCGTCAAGGCAGTCCTGCAGTGCTTGCTTTCTTGTGCATCGATCGATAAGTACAGCGTGAAAGAGAGCGACATGTGCTGCACATGATAAGAGCAGTGCAGGAGAGCGCAGTCGAGAGTGCAGTTGAAAAATAACTTGAAATATGATGAGCTGAGTTGAAGTGAAATGAAACGTACTTGTCTTGTTTGCTTGCGATCAATTTGCCATTACACAAGAAAGCGAGCGCGTGTCGCGTCTTCATTGCAGTTAGTAAGGCATTCTTGTCTACTGCTGTTATGACTGCCAACACTGATGAGGATGAGAGGGAGGAATAGATGAGTTAGTGAGGTAGCGAGCAAGTGAGGTGGTGTCTGAAGAATTATTAAATGTCTCAACTGTGGGGCAATCCTGTTACAAAATGCACAACGTCAAGATTGCTGTAAGCTAGCGTTCCGGTGCTACTACTGTTACTACTACCATTATTGATGCTTGTTCTATCTGTTGTTTATAAATTGGTTGACCTGCAGGTATATACCACTGCCTGTATGATATGTACATTGACCTTCGCGCCCTGCGAGCACAGGCCAGAACTTCACTCCTCTCTCTATATCATCATTGTTCTCATAATTACTGTCTTACTTATATCCATCCTTTGATCCTGTAGTTCTGTTATATTTTTTAAGTGATTTGCTGCAGACTCTGTGTGATGGGTGTGCTGTGGATGATGCTAGTTTCCACCTAAATCTTAACTGATAATGGTTCTCTCTCATTTCTGCACTAGTCAGTTAACTAATTTGGTGACAAAATTGGTCTTTCATGGTCATGCGAGAGTGCTCATCAGTAGCATTCATGTGTTTCTGTGTTACTCTTCATTAGACCAAATCTTTCCTAATCATTGATTCACTGTAGCATCTTTTATTCAAACCGTTCATCGTATTTCTAATCTTATTAGTAGGTATTTTCTTCATTTTTACAAGGCATGGCCTTTGACTTGGGTCAAACTAATTGAAATGAAACAAACTCTATGCATGCTTCTGTATTATTTTGATCACTAGTTACCTCATTAGTTCATCCCTGCTAGACTCATTTTTACTCCCAGAACTCATTCGACATCTCTCATCGTTATATTCCATCACCTCATGACAATATTGATATTTGCTTGCTATGATGCGTTTTATAAAATTATTCTTGTACGTGTATGTGAGTGTGGCTGAAAAATGATAACGCTACTTTCACCTTTCTCACTTTCTCCTCTGACATTGGCACAGTGTATAGTGAGATAGTTTTGAAGTTAATTAGCGTTTTTGTTCCAGGTACTTGGATATTGCTTCAAACGGATTTTATTATCAGTTAGAAGGAAACCAAGGTTGGAAGAAAAAGGTAAGTACTGATGGTGATTTTGCCGGCACACATCATCATTACCACAATATACCTTCTGTGCGTGGGCAAAAACCCATCGTATCAGCTGTTCCTCTAATCCCACAAATTCCTTATCAGACGAATACCCGCAACCTCGGACCAATGAATTCAAACCCTCTACAAAGGTTTCTTATTTGCGACAATATCACTTTATTCTTCATTGATTGTTCCTATGACAATCATAAATCATTCATATTTATCAAACGAAATCTTCCTTAATCACATGGCATATTATTATATAGTATGGCATTTTCGATGCTATGATGACATGAAGTCAATCCTCATCTGCATTGGTTTGTTGTAGGTAGGCATGACTATTTTTATAGTACACCTTTAGAACTGTTCATGAGGGAATTGAGTTATGAAACAAAAAGTGGTTCATCATATTTTTTGATTTAGTGTCTTGTTCTATCATCTTCAAAAAAAATGATAGATTTTACTTTTTCTTCACGCCTCTAATGAAATACGGAATGGTGGGCTTGTACTATTGCTAATTTTGTAACCGTCTATTTTGGCCGTGTCTTAAACTGTTTTTCGCTGTCTGACAGGTTTTCTTAGGAATTGGAGTTATGCGTTTGATTGTTACACTTTCTAATCACATAAAATGCTACCATCAGATTGAAGTGTTTCATCTCTTACAAAAACGTCTTTAATTTCCTTGGTGAAGGAATCACTTACCTTGTCAAAACATTGATGTATGTTAAGCTTTCTACTTAGTACTTTAGATATTACTTGATATTTGTATGAAAGTAGACATGTACGGGAGTTGCATGTAAAGAAGTGAGCCGGCTCTAGGTTCATAAATAACTGTGGCGCTGAGCTAATGCTATGGTCGTAGTTGTGTGTGCTGTAACGTTTTTTACATAGGCACACTCTGTTTTGCGAAGTGTTGAAGTAATGTTTGTAATTGGTGTATATAGCAGTGATTGGATGATGTTTTAGAAAACCTGTGTGGAAATACCTTTTTTCCAATTTTGCGTCGTTCCAGTCTGAGTGTGCGTTATCAGCGTAACCGTTTTCGAAACATATATATATATATAT